AATTACCAACTCCTTTGATTTCACCTTTAGCACCATCTCCAAAGGTCATATAACTAGTGGTGTGAGGTTTAACATGATTGAGAATGTTCTTGATTCCAGTCATGTGCTTAGAACACCCACTGTCAAAGTACCAGTCTTCCTTTGCAGAGACTCTCAGGGAAGTGTGGGCTATCAGGGCAATAGCCTTTTTCTTCCATTGAGGAGTATGTGGTACCCTGTTAGCCTTAGGTTTGACACCTGGGTTCTGATTAGGGTATCCATACAATCTGAAGCAGAAAGGCTTTATGTGACCAAACCTCCCACAATGGTGACATCTCCATCTTTGGTACTTTTTCTTCATATTTCTCTGTTCCCGATGTTGAGTGTTATGTTGTGACATCTGCTTTGACATTTGTTTATCAGACCTGATCTTCTTGTCTGTACCAGATTTCTTTGCTTCCATAAATCCTAGTCCAGACTTGTTTCCCACATTTTGTCCAACCTGAAGGATTTCTTCCAATTTGTCAGTTCCATTTGTCAGCATCTTGACAGATTTGGTCATCTGGTTCAGTTGTGAGTTCAGCAATTGAACTTCCCCTTCTAGATGACTTATAGTTTCAAGGTCTGCCCTTTTTTCAGCCTCTAACTTTATGATGAGCTTTGTTTATCTCTCATTTTGCACACAGACTTCAGCACTTCTGATACACAATTTCTTGTAAGTATCAGCCAGTTCTTCAAATGTCACTTCCTCATCACTGGTGTCACTTTCAGAGGTACAAACACCAGTTAGAGCAGTAACTAGTTTGGCAGATTCTTCTTCAGAATTACTTTCTGAATCACAGTCAGACCAGGTAACAGTCATTCCTTTCTTTTGTTTCTTAAGAAAGGTAGGGCATTCAGCTCGAATATGCCCATATCCTTCACAACCATGGCATTGAATTCCTCTGCCTTGATTTCCCTTCTCTTCAGACCTTGGTCTTCTGCTGGAGTCATAAGATCTGTTAATGTCAGGGGGAATGTTATCAACATTTGACCTTGACTTTGGATCCATTCTCTTGATGAGTTTGTTGAATTGTCTTCCAAGCATGGCAATAGCTTCTGAAATATTTTCTTCTTCATCCTCCTTGTTTTCATTTTCAGTGTTGGATACAAGTGCTATGCTCTTGTTTTTCTTGTCAACATTGTCACTGATCCCCATCTCAAAAGTCTGAAGAGACCCAATGAGTTCATCCACTTTTAAGTTGCTGATATCCTGGGCTTCCTCTATAGCAGTTACCTTCATTGCAAATCTTTTAGGCAGGGATCTGAGAATCTTTCTCTCCAGTTTTTCTTCAGACATCTTTTCACCCAATGCTCCTGAGGTGTTGGCAATCTCCAAGATGTTCATGTGAAACTCATGAATGGTTTCATCTTCCTTCATCCTTAGGTTCTCAAACTTTGTAGTCAGCATCTGAAGCCTTGACATTTTTACTTTGGATGTGCCTTCATGGGTAGTTTTGAGAGTGTCCCACACTTCCTTGGCCAGTTCACATTGATGCACCAGTCTGAAAATGTTTCTATCAATTCCATTGAACAAGGCATTTAAGGCTTTGGAATTTCCCAGGGCTAACTCATCTTCTTCTTTGCTCTATTCTTCCTCAGGCTTCAGACTGATTGTCCCATCTTTCTCAGTTATGGTGGGATGGTTCCATCCTTTGTCAGCAGCTCTCCAAGCCTTTTTGTCCAGAGATTTTAAGAAGGCAATCATACGAGGTTTCCAGTAGTCATAATTTGTTCCATCCAGAATGGATGGTCTATTTCCAAAAACTCCTTCTTTGTCCATAGTGCCAGAAAGTGATATCCCTAGATCTCACCCACTAATACAGGCAGGGTGCCTGCTCTGATACCAATTGAAAATTCTGGAAGCAGATACTCAATGTCACAGTGAATGTTATGACACCGTATCTGACTTTCTATAAGACAGTAAATAAAAACAGTAAAGAACAAAGTCAATTGTTTACCCAGTTCAGTGTGAAACAACACCTACTCTGGGGGCTACCAAGCCAGGGAGGAAATCCACTATAAGAGATATTAATTCAGGAATAAACCAACCAATTTATCTCCTTCACTTAAGACCTACCCAATGCAACTTCAATCTAAGTTCTACTTAAACCTGAATTCCTACTCACTCCCCCTCAATCACAACAGTGATACCTAAAACAGTTGACTAATGAATTAATGAAGACACTCTTCAGAACATACACTTGATTATGCTTCACAGCTTTTTAATCAAGTAACACAAACACTCTTGCTTCACAGCTTTGAGTGATACATAAACCTAACTTGATGTTGCTTCAAAGCTTTAGTCAAAAGACACAAAACACTCTTGCTTCAAAGCTTTGAGTGGTACAAAAACCCTTACAAACAAAACCTATTCCAAGTCACTTATCACAATGATAATTGCTTAGATTACAACAGTTAAAACTATACAGTTTCTGATTGATCTTCAGTCCAAAGGGATATTTTCCAAACAGCAATCCTGTTGAATATATAGCAGCTGTTTCTTCAGTTAGGGTTTCCACAAAAAGCTATGGTTAATTAGGTTTAACCATAAGACTTGGTCACAAGACTTTATCAACCAGTTTAGGGTTGAGCTAGGTTAACCCAAAGACAACGGGAGATTCTGTTCTGGAAGGAATGAGCCAACTTCCTGAAAAATCTCAGAATTAACCAAACTGCACTACTGTTAGATCAGTACAGGATGTCTTAACATTTGTTATGACATCAAAATTCCTGTTTACTGATTTTGGTAGAAGGCAATAAATGTGATCTTTTGCAAAATGCTCAGATACACACTCATACACAGTTGCTACTGTATGCCATAATTTTTCTGCATAAAGTACCTAATAAACCAGAATGTTATGACATCAGTCATGACATTCACACACCTGATTTTACCAAAAACACATGCCAATAACTAAACACTTACACAAGACATGCATGGGACTTTGAATTCTGAAACCATGGATATTCTTTTATATAATTATGGTTGCACTTAAAAATATATATGTGCAATGCACTTTCTACTGCATTGTATTCTCGACGCCAAATTATGTTGATCGTGCCTACTAGAGGAAGAAAAACTCATTTAAAATTTAAGAATTCAGTTCCAACTCAAAATTCTTTTATTTATATCATTGAGAAAGATTCGGAGCTTGTTGAACTTTTGCAATTAACAAATCTTATTATATGGAATAAGGCATCAATGACATAAATTTTATTTTGAAGTTATTGACAAATCTTTGAAGGATAATACGAGTGATGATAAGATTGTCTCTAAGCAAATATTTGGAGGAAAAATAGTTGTCTTTGGTGGTGATTTCAAGCAAACTCGGAAATAGATTTGATATTGTATGTGCAATAATAAATGCCTCTATATTTGGCATAGTTGCAAAGTTGTTACTCTTACTAAGTTACAAAATACCTCAATATCACCTACATTTGAAGATATTAGAAAATTCTATGATTTAATTTTAAAGATTAGTGATGGAAAAATATCATAACTAAATTATAGATATGTTGATATTATTATTATTCCTGAAGAGTGATTGATAATTAAATTTAGTGATATAGTCGAAGCAACTGTTTCAAATACTTATCTGGATCTCCTTCGTAACTACACAAATTCTTATTTCCTTCAAGTAGACTTGATGTCAAAATTAGATATTGGATGAAATAAATAATTATATCACACAATTTATTCCATGTAACGAATTACATTTTAACTATTTATTTCAATAAACATTTAATATTAGCAGTACAACATCCAAAATTTTAAATGTTCCAATTTTCCTTTGAAGGTGAAGACAAGAAATATTTGAACAATGATTTCATTGATAAATTTGAAACAAATTTTGAGCAATTAACACCAAAATTATTGAGTTGTCCCAAAACTTCATGGTTGTCAAACTAGTGAATCAAATTCAAGATTGGGATGCACAACTATTAAGTTGTCGAGGAATTTGGATAAATATGAAGGGTTGTACAATGGTACTAAGTTAACTGTTACTAGACTTTCTAATCATATTATTGAAGGAAAGATCATTTTAGGTAAAAATTTGGAAATATCGTTTACATACAAAGGATGTCTTTTCAATCTTGTTGACCATTCAAGCTTATCAAAAGACAATTCTCTATTATTGTCTCATTTGCTATGACAATAAACAAATCTCAAGATCAATCTTTTGACTATGTGGATTTATACGTGACAAGGGATGTTTTCAGTCACAAACAACTATATGTAAGTCTCGCCCCAAGAAATGCTTGAGGGACTCGCCTAAAGCAACTCTTAAAGGACTCGTTGCCATGGAATTTATAGGGATCATTGCACATCTAAATTAATCACTTCACTATTTCCAAGCTTAGTTCTTGAGAAACTGTAGACTGCAGATAATCTTATTTGACCCTTAAGAGGCAGCCCATGGCCAGAATGGCCCAAAAGGAACTGCAGAAGTGTCAGGCGAGCGCGCTCATGGACCGTCTGACCTGAAACAATGTCCATGATCGATTTGTCTCATCACACGTGGTCTATAAGATGTCCAGAAGAAGACAATTTGGTCAACATAAGTAAAGGAGGCAACGGTCCCTCCGACATTTAAGGAAGAACCAATCTTCCAATACTCCCACGTTCTAGCTGGGAAAGTAAGAGAAACTCAATATTCCAGCTTAAGAGTTGGAGATTCATTCATAATCTCACATAATTAGAGCATAAACACTCTCCTGTGATCATACACGCATGAAGTCTATCATACTCATGATACTCATATGCATTTTTTGTAACATAAAATTTGATTATTATACTAAAGTTAACTTTATCCAAAACAAAACAATTGTGTAATCTTTATTCATTCCAAAGAAAAACTAATGTTGAAGGAACATAAAATAAAACCACAACTTGATACATAGACATAAATCCAAATCAATTAAAACAACACAACAAGGTTAGCATTTAGCGCCTACTGCGAACCTTGCCTAACAAGTTATTAAATTAGAGAATATTGAATACTAACAGGAGAGGGGTATGGTGGAACTTGCACTTCAACAGTACCTTCAAGCATATGTATCACATTTCTCATGCTTGGTCTAAGAACTGGATCCTCTTGAACACACCAAATTGCAATCATTACCAATTTCTCCAACTTTCCTTTGTCATCCAATGCCTCATTGTCTCCCTCAACCAATGCATCTACAGCACCATCTCTGTAGCAATCATAAGCCCAATCAGTCAATATTGCTTTCTCTTCTTCTCCTTGATCCATTTCTTGAACACATCTTCTACATGAAATAATCTCTAGTAGCACTACTCCATAACTATACACATCCACCATAGTTGTGATGGGCATGTTTTTAAACCATTCTACTGCAACATACCCTTTTGTCCCCCTTATGCCAGTATTGGTTTTGCTCTCATTCATGTTCAACAGCTTGGCCAATCCAAAGTCAGAGATTCTTGCATTGAAATTATCATCAAGAAGTATGTTCTGAGGCTTTATGTCACAATGGATGATCCTAGTGATGCACTCTTCATGTAAATACACAAGTCCTCTAGCTACCCCTATTGCAATTTCTAGTCTTAGTTTCCAACTTGGTCTTTGTTTCTTATCAGAAGAATTAAAAAGAAATTTTGCCAAAGTGCCATTGCTCATGTACTCATAAACCAACAATCTTTCAGATCCACCCTCACAAAATCCAAGTAAACGAACCAAATTTTTGTGATGAGTGAGACCGATGCCATTCACTTCATTTCTAAATTCCTTATGAGCTTGATCCAACAAAAAATTGTTCAACTTTTTTACTGCCACGCGAGTTTCAGAACTTGTGTTGTTGTTGATGACTCCTTCATAAACAATACCAAAAGATCCCCTTCCTAGCTCTTTGTCAAATCCATTGGCAGCTTTTTCAAGCTCTTTGTAAGTGAAGTAACGCAAATTGGTTTCAACACTAGTGTCACTTCTGCTAACTCTTCTAAGTTTCTTCTCGTACTGAAGAATCATCGAGGTGCTGACACATATTGCTACAATCAATACAGCATTGAGAATAGCAGAGCTACCAAAAAGCACAGAAACAACCAATACCAAAGTTCCCCTATTATTATTCTTGTTCACAATGATTGAGGTATTATCTTTTCTCACTTTCAAGAAGGCCTTAGCATCACCAAGTGTGCTGCCATCATATATCCCATTTGAGAGTGGTAACTTCTTCTTCCAGCAACTATCTGTCCTGAAAATAGCCACAGAACAAAAACAATCTTCCAGACAAGATTTCCTACACTGTTCTTCAGTAAAAGGCTTTTGAGACACATAATCTGATAGAGGCCAATCAGTTTCAGTCAAAATCTCAAAGTCATAGAGATCGTCTTCTACACATCCTTGTATGAAATCTGGCTTGCAGCTACCATATGGATCATCAGGATCAACAAGTGAGTAACTTTTTGGACATTGACATCTTGGTCTCTTATCATCTCCCAATGTGCAGACGCTATTATATCCACAAACACCAGAACCTGCAACAGCGATATAACTACATATATTTTCAGGATGTGACCACACTATAGTCCAACCACTACTATCAGTTGAACTCTTTGGATGTTTGAAAAGTGAAAACACTCCATCCAAATTAAGAGTTGCTCTAAGATAAAAATCAGTGGTGGAGACTTTACTCGAGTCATCATCTTCTCCATCTTTTCCTGACATATTGAATTTCTCATTGTTCTCTCTCAAGACATACAACTCCCCTGAACTGTCAAAGACCAATTGAGTTCCAGCACTTGATTTATTGGATCCAACAGTTTGACTTTCATAGTAGTTTTCATTAGCATAACCAGATGGTAAATTAATAGAATACATAACAAGATTACCATCATTTTGTAAATGGAGCTCAAACCTGCCCTTACTGAAATTCCTCTCCTTAAGCTTTGAACTAAGCTTTACACCTTTCTCAAGAACTTGAGATGGCAACAAGTTGTCATTCGGATGCTTGAAAGTCTCCCAAAGACTGTTGAAATCACCATCCTCAAGCACAAAATTGCCAGTGTCATTGAACACACCTCGAGAAACTCCACTGTTGAGTACCTCAGTAGTATTCCATAACCCGACACCATTTGGAGAAGTTAGCACCAACCCATCATTGGCATTGAGTTCAACTTTTGACCCTTTGGGTGCAGGACTGTCGCCATTAGCATACCACACAACAGTGTTCTCAGAGATTTTTGCATACCAAATGGAAAGCAAAAAAAGATTAGTGTCATTAAGTGGTAGAAAACCAAAGGCAAAGTCACCAGAAGGTGAAAGCAACCATGGGGAGGTGTTGGATTCAGCAGTATGAGAATCACCAATGGCTATAGTACTTTTGGTTTGAGCTGCAACACAGATTGCCGATTGAAGAATGACTGAGTAGAGAAGAAAGAGACATAGAGAGGAAGCCATGTTAAGATTCTAGAATCAATTTGGTGATTATGTTTATAGTAGTAAATAGCTATTGTTTATGCCTAACTGTTGAATATTATGCGTAGACTTGATCAACTCATACTAAAACAGCATTGACATTGTGACTTTTCAAAAAGAAATTGCTAGTACAATTTTTCTATTATTTATTGCAAGATGAACTTCTATAATATAAATAAGAAAGATGTTCAAGAACAGTGATCTATACTCACAACTTAAAATCTGCCACGTCCGATTGATGGCTATTCTTTGTCCATTTCTTACTATTTTTTCCAACTAATTGCATCATTGGATTTGAATTCAACAGCTGATTAAGTTTTTTTAACACACAACTCCTCCTCATTCTCCAGTTTCCAATTGAACTGTGCTTTACAAGTTCTAAACATATTATCTGTCAAATCAATTTGTCAAATTTCTATTACATATTTTCATTTTTATGTTTCATTTTGCCTACTAACATCATCTCTGTCATCCCTGAAAACATTGGTATGCAAAAATATCTGAGAAAACTGAGTTTTGGTATGCTAATGGGGACAGTCCTGCTCCAAAAGGGTCAAAAGTTGAACTATTCCAATTCCATGTTTCCTAAAATGTATACGCACAAATCTATAGTGGGAGTAAAAAACAACATATCAACTTAGTCTTGAAGGACTTAGGGTATATGTCTAACATTTATGAAGTCATCACATTTCCTTATTTTGAGTCTTTTGACTTTATACAATTTTGAACTTTGACTTATATCACCAAACATAAGAACAACACTATAAATTGCACATTTTGGGAGGGATATGCCTTAAAATTCATCCATGTCAATCAACAGAGGAAAAATTAATCGCCAACAATTATCATATTGTGATACGCCAAAGTAAAAGAAGAAGGTTGTTCTTTGTTTGATTTTTATCTTATATTTGTTGTTGTGTTTGTGTATTGGCACCAATTATGGAAAAATATTGTGATGTAGGAAAATATCTATTGTCTGTTTCCAACACCTACAATGTTAGCAAGCTGCACATCAAATCAAGACTTGCCTGAAATAATTGATTTTCAAAATAAGTACTCGTTGTTTCAATGTAAATATATGTTTGGAGTTCCCTTTATTTTTCCAACCTTAGTAAATATAATTGTAATTCTTCTCTTACTTTAGGATCCCTAAAGACTCATGGGTTGAAAGTTCAAGTCAAGTTTTGAGTACACAAGAAGTTCGCAACTAAGTTCCTCTCATTGATATTACTTAACTTGAAGATGTAATTACACACTTCCTGAATATTTGTTCTTCCTATATTATAGATATTTAATTTATGTCTAATGTTTTTATCTTGTCATCTGTTTTAGTTGACTTTCGGTGACGGACAAACTTCAAGCGTCCAAACTCAAATGGTACTATCAGGGCATGCCATCAATGTTCAAGGGTTGCAAAGGCATGCCCCGATGCTAAAATATTTTGAACCTCCTACTAAATATGTTATCTATGTTTCATTTCATTTATACTACTATCTGTTTATTTGTATTTTGTTGTCAATCTTTCATTTCACTACTAATATTGTTTATTTGTATTTCGTTATCATCTTTAATTTATTTTTTATCACTTCCGGTATGTTGATTGTCTTTTTTTAGTTACAAACAATTTTTAATTGCTTTACAATGTTTTCGATTTTATTTCTACTTTTTTCTTTTTAACGGTTCTTAAATTTTTCATATTGTTACCGACAATATTTGATGAGATATATATTTTCACAAAGGGATTTATGTAAATGACGACATTTGGAGAATATCATATTCGATTTTTGGCAGAAATAACATCTGATCAATGCAAAAATATATATTTTTTTTAAATTATCATTCTTTAAGTAAGAAATATCTTTTTAGATTGTTTTATAACTGCGCAGACAAAACTAGTATACATCCTTACATACGAGTTTTTATTAAAAATCAGACATGTAATACGAATTCCATTTTTTGTTTAATATATATATATATATATATATATATATATATATATATATATATATATATATATTGTTAAATTCATACATTTTTAAAATATTTGTGTGCCTTTGCACAAAATTAGGTGAAGTTTGGCCCTTATGAACTATCTCACTATTACTAAATGTTCTCGACTGTTCCAATAGTTAGAATTGACTCAACTCACTTCTATTTTTTGTATGGCCCTACAATATTGACCCAGTAGCTCTAGATCTTCTGATGGGCATCTCTGGTCGACCACGCCCGTTGGGCGACAAGACTAACGGTGGCCGAGACACACTCTTGTCCACGCGGATAGTGACCTCCCAGTCTGCTCGACGCACATAGAGCAGTCACTCAGGAAACGCTCATAAACGCTTCTGCCTGTAATCCCTTTTGTGCTCAGCACAACGGCTAGTTACGGGCACGACTGCCCGTTTTGACTAAGTCCTGATAGTTACCTATTTTTGAGGAGTCTAATATTTAGTCCCAAAAATAGGAACCAATGGCCAAGCGTCAGAGGCATTATATAAACCCTCACACTTGTGAGGGCCAGGTACCCAATATTCACACTAAAAACCCTAATATCTTACTTGTATCTCTTTGCACTCATTCTTACTTGATCGTCAGAGTGACTTGCAGGTACACCCCCTACTTTCCTCAACTTTCCAGCCAATAAGACGTCATCCTTCAGCCCACTTCCAGGTTCTGATTAACTAGTAAGATCAGTGGCGCCGTATTTGGAAAACTATCTTCTCCGTCTTCCTTTTCCTCAAAATTGAATACTGGAGATACCTTCACAACTTGAGTCATGGACGACCATGATGACCATCACCTTTCTGGAAAGACTACACTCTCTCTCGTCCATAAGACAAACGGAAGCCAAGAGCGTCATCATCTCGAGAATGCCTCCGACGTCAGAGACGGCCGAATATCATCCCCAAATTCGGTCGATATTGAACGCGACAACCTCCAGTTCTTGGAAGATCAGAGATCTAAGAAACCCACCGAGGAGGAGCCAGAAAGCCTTCAGTCAGTTCCTATTCCATAAAATGCCGACCTGGCCATGGCAGCGCTGCTCACTGCCCTCAATCAAACCAACGCCTTAATCCTACAGCAAAGTAAGAGGATTGGGGCCTGTGAGAAGAAGCAATATAAGTCTCCTCCTCTGAGACACCGGCGTTATGACCCTCGTAGTCCATTACCACCAAGACGTGGCCGCCTTCCTGTACGAGAGAGGCAAGAGGTTTCTTTCTTCAAGAAATGAGGTCGCACACCTCCCCGGAGAGATCGGTGCTCCCTGATGTCCAATAAAACGAAGAACGACCAGAGACTTGATCGTGACTGTTCTCCGTCGCCCAAGCCGAGGCAGTATCCAAGAAGAACCTCTCCCTAATGAGACGACAACCCCTGCCGAGGAAGAAATAACTATTCTCCACCAGCTTCTCTTGATCATAGCGATGACGACGAGCCCCATGGCCCGTTATCCAGGGAGATCATGGAGACCCTGTTTCCTATCGGTCTTGAGAAACCCCCATACTTGGGGACATACGGCGACACAGCAGATCCGGACGAGCACATCGAAAACACCGATGCGCTGCTCGACTATAGGGGTTACCGGAGAGCAATCAAGTGTCGAATATTCCCAACGATGCTCAAAATGGGAGCCATGGCTTGGTATAAGAGCCTCCCTGATGAGTCCGTCACTTTATGGAAGGGCTTGGAGAGACAATTCTCCAGGCATTTCACGATATCTCGCCGCCATCCCAAGTCAGAAGATGCACTTGAGGCCATCATCCAGGGGAAGGATGAGTCCCTCCGAGCATACATTGAGAGGTTCAACCAGAAATCCGTCCAGGTCAGCACGATCGACAGGATGAAAAAATACCTCCTTGAGCGAGGCTTGCTCCCTTGCAGTGATTTCGCCAAGGCAATTGGCATTAAGAATCCTGCAACGTTGGATTCTCTTCTGCTCAAAGCACAATCGTACATCTAGTATGAGGAGAAAGAGGCTGCTAACAATGCGAGAGACTCGCGGCATCATGAGAATGTGAAAGTCTCAAAGAATGATGAGCCCTAGACACCTCGTTAGGGAGGAGAAAAGAAGAGGGATGGAAAATCTCGTGATTCTAAAGACTATCGGGGCAAAGTTCGTCGCTTCCATGACTACACCCCCCTCAACGCTTCGCGCAAGAAGATTCTGACAAAATGCGCCAATTCAGAGTTCAAGTAAGCTAGCATGCACTTTCTTCGTCAAACATTGTCCAAACCTGGGACGGACAAAAGCAAATACTACCGGTTTCACAAAAGTCACAGGCACAATACAAACGACTGCATCCACCTAAAGGATGCCCCCGAGATACTCATTCGATATGGGCATCTCAAACAGTACAAAAAGAAGGAAGGTGCCCGCGAAGACGTCTAGGTGTCCAAGAAAGTAGAAGAAGAAAAGCCTTCACCCGAAGCGAGCCTCATGCTCGTCGCCTTGAACATCACCAGTCCAGAGGACTTCTACTTCCCCGACCTGGACGAAGTCCCTCTATATTTTGCGACCCATAGCCCTTAGGAGACATTTTCAGCAGTGATGGTTATATCTGGCGAGGGCTTCAACAAGTATACAGTAGGCTCGGTCAAGAGAAGATTTGAGCAACTCATGAATGGTAGCTCCGGAAAGGGTACCACCCTCGACAAAGTCAGGGGGAGCTCCGTCCCCATTGCATTCTACAAAGAAGAGCCTCCCGGTGGGGCCCCCAGCTCCAGTATTCCTCTTCTCGTAAGAGCACGAATGGCCAACTTTGACGTCAGGAGAATATTGGTCGATCAAGGAAGCCCGGTGGATATAATGTACTCCCAGTTATTCACCACTTTGCAACTAAACGAGACCCACATGACCCCTTATGTTGGCTCCGACCTCCAGGGATTCAACGGTTCCATCACCAAGCCTTGGGGATATGTCGAGCTGATCGTCACATTCGGGGCAACCGAATGTTCCAAGTCGATCAAGACGTAGTTCCTCATGG